AGAGGGTTGAGGAGGAATGATTAGACAAAATGAAAGAACGTTCTTCGAATATTAACGTATGAAAGATATTGTCCATTCGTATACGAGATAATATTCGCTGTCGCGTATCCTAGAACGTGGTTTGCTACGTTTAAAATTTGTAATATTTGAAATAAATCACAGGTGAGGAAGACAGACACTCCTCGTTGGAGTTGAACGTGCATGGACCGACGGTAAGGGGTTGGCAAAGTTCGAGAAGATGTATATATCCCCAAGAACTAATTCTGCGGCTCCATGGTCCGACGAAGCTTACGAGAATACAAGTGTTAGCTCATCAGTATCTAATTCGTGAGTTATCGTCGTTAGAAACAATCTTTGTTACGTTCTTTTGTCCATTTTTCTTCTGTTTTTTTTTTTTTTTGAATCTTGAAAATTCAATGTCACGACGTTATGGGAAACTGCGAAGTTTCCCTGAAAAGCAATTCGGTTACAATGAAAATGAAATTAGCGCAGCAACCCCGATTTCCCGAGGCTACGGTCGTTTTGCTCTCCTCGTTTCAACCCTCGTTTCTTATTCTACTCCACGGCTGAATGCCGTGAAACACTTTACTTTTCATTGTTTATGGATTCGTTCTTTTCTTCTCCCCGGGGGAGGGCCAGCACGTTAACGAGTCTGTCACGTTAATAATCTCTATGAGAGAAAAAAAAACGTCCTTACAGCGGAAAAACTGGAGATCTGGACGTCGAGGGAAGAGAATGCCTCTGTGACGACTGAATTCAGCTATTTGGGTTACATCACGTTGTCCGACAATGCCTCGACCATGTACAAAAGCAGAGAGTTGAAAAGTGTCGCCCTTCCGGAAACAGAGGCGGTCTCGCTCAAGCTCAGACTTCACAAACCGCACAGTAACGCGCACAATGTTTATCAACAGGTACAATCAACAATGCTCCTAGATCGGGTAATCATCGATTGCAATTGTTTCTGGAATTTTAGGTCGGCCTTATCGCTATTAATATCCTCGGTGAACCTTACGGTCAGTCGCTCACTGGCCAAGGGGATGCACCGTACAATCCCCATTACACTTCCCCGTACGATGATTTAGCCTTCGAAATGTACGTGGATCGAGAGGTGGCTAAGATCATAAGGCAGATGGAGGCGAAAAAATTGCAGGCAGTCGAAGGTGATTATTCGTATAGAAATAAAAATCCTGTGCAAAATTTCCAATGGAATTCAATTTTCAGAGGAAAGATTCGAGTACGCTTCGAAGCTAAAGGTAGCAATGGAGAACTTGAGGAAAGCTGGAGAACGTCTTGGAAAATACGAATTGGAGAAGAAGTACGCTATAGCGTTAGAGGACTACGATAAGGCGAAAGCGAAAAAAGCTCAAGCGCAACAATATAGACAGCAGGTTTATCAGAGTTTAGAGGTGCAAGATCTACTAGAACTTCACGGGGTGAATATACTTTTCTAGGAACGATTACAAATTGAAAATTCGCCTGTTTAATCGTCGTGTATTCCTGCGAACAGCCGTTGGAGAAGAATAACGTGTCGTCAACGGAGGGCAAGGAACCCATATCGATAGATACCTGTAGCTCGACTGCGGCTGCAGTTCCCGAGGACATCACGTCTCCTCCGAGATTAGTAATTCCGCCGAATCGTGATGGAGCTATATCACCGACTGGTCCCGCGCATCAACCACCTGTTTCGCCGCTTCATCAGAAACCAAACAGCCCTGGTATCATAATTTCCATAGAGATAGGCAAACTTTCACAGTAAACTCGCGTGTAACTGTCTTTTAATTTAACAGAAGTTACCGATAGTCCTACGAACGGGGTCGTGGAGAGACAGAACAACTGCAACAAAGGATCTCTCAGGAGAAAAACCAAATCTGCAGGACCCGCGCTTCGTTCAAGCTACGAAGCTTACGAGGAGAGAACGATTCCTGCTTTGAGACAGTAAGAGACGATAGGGATATGAAATCGAAGGTTGTCAAAATTGAATCGAATTTGTATTTTAGCTCGCACACGAACGAATTCACGAGAGAGTGCCACATAGATAACACAGAGACGAAGGTTATATCGAAATTGAACGACAGAGAGAAGAAACAAGCTGCCTTACCGATCGCTGTCTTCGGAATGGAAATGGTGGTGCAAGTTTCGCAAAATGATCTTTATCCATTCGTAGAATAATAATAATAACCGAGACAATTTGCCTATTCAGGTAGAGAAATTCTACTCGAAACAATTCACGGATAAAGAGGAGGGTTTGATGCAACTGAAAGAGGAACTGAAAACCTTCGATCCTGAAGTGTCAAAGCATTCTGCGAATAAGACAGCAAGAGCTGCGATTCTGTTACTGCACAGAGCTCTGAGAGACAAAGTTTTCAGTGTGTACAGTCTGGCAGCGCAACTGATTAGAATTTTCTTCTCTGAATTTGCTACAGATAGGTAACTTTACACATCCTGCTATCGTTTACCGTTACTCGAAATTTGTTGTAACTGACAAACGATTATTTTCCTCTCAGAGTATCTTCTACGGAGATTGCAAGAAGCGTGGAAAGGCTTCTTCCAGAGTTACTAACTAAATCAGGAGACACAACTCCGAGGATTCATAACATGGCAGTGCATACAATATTGAGTATGGCGGACTGCAAATGCGTCAGAGAATTGCATATTATACCGGTGCACTTAACTAGACCTGTTAGCACTAGCACTCATCAAAGGTTGGCACTCAGTAGACTAGAAATGGTGGAGCAATTGATCCTGAATCACGGAATATCCACCGATAAACAAAGGTGACTCAAAACAAAGTAATCTTGATCGTGTGCTTTTTCTTTTTTTTTTTTTTTGTCGAGTTTCATCAATTACCAAATAGCATCAGGCCTCTGTTCGTGACAGTCGATACACGATCTGATGTGCTGATGTCACTGGCAGAGGTCCACCTTCTGTATTAAGACTGACCAGTTAAAACGCAATTACTCTGATAAGGCATTGTAACTGTTGTAGTGGACTGACTTGTCGGACGTTGTCAGAATTGGGTTCCTCGGGGTTGCACCATCCGGCTGAAGCGGTGAGGAAAGTTTCAGAAAGGATCTTGGTGTTGGTGTACAAAGTGAATCCTAGATTGGTCCGCAAACAATTGCCACCTGACGATGATATTACCAGGAGGAATTTGTTGTATCGTCAACTCTTTCACGAATTCGATCTCATCGATCTTCAGGTAGAGGATTTTCATACGAGTTAGAGTATTTGTTTGTTCTTTTTATTTTGTTACTTTTATCGTATCGATTACAGAGGAAAAAGGAAGCGGAAGCTAGTCATAAGACAACGACACCCACGCGAACGAAATCGACGGAGAATAACGTGGCGAACTTAACGAAATCTCCTTCGAGAACGAGTCCTGTTGTTAGCACTGGAAGCTCAACAAGTATAACATCTCCGTCCGAGAATAGTACAGAGCATAAGGGTGACAAGTAAGCGAAGTGTAATTATTCTGTGGATATTTATCGTTTGGTGTATTTTTTTTTTAATGTATTTTTTCTTTTTTTTCAATGTATCCTCTTTGTAGGATGTGCATATTTTGCCTTTCCAAGGGACAAGGGTATTCTGAAGAGGGACTGAACATTCATTATTGGAGAAGTTGCCCTATGCTAACAAAGTGCGAAGCGTGCAAACAAGTGGTAGAAATTTCGTACTTGAACTTACATTTGTTAAGTAAGTAATCGATCTTTGGAATAATATTTAATATGTATTATTTGCTGGTAATATTTATTCTGTATCTTAGATGAATGTGATATGAGAAGCAATTACGTAAAATGCGAGACGTGCAAGCAAGCAATTCATGAAAATTCCTTCGAAGAACACAGAAAAGATAACAAGTGTACAAGTATGTAAAACTTGATTTTACAAGGATAATAAAATGAATGAACGTGAAATAAAAATAATATGATTAATTATCGTTTATGTTACAGAACCCATCGAGGGCTACGATCGTTGTCCACTCTGTTCCACTCTTGTAAATCAAAATAAATGGAGGGAGCATCTGATGGGTGAACATCCCTGTGCGAACAACCCTCGAAATAAACCAGGGAAAAGTTGTAAGTTTGACGTTATTTAAGTATAATGTATCGCTATATGCGAAATACGTTTCGTTTGTAGGTTCAAAATCTCCATCCAATTCTCAGAATTTCGTCGGAAAAACAACAACACCGACCAGTAGAGATTATTAGCACCAACCATCTACTTCGAGCTTTTCGGAGTGTAAAAAATTTTAGAAAGATTTTTTTCTTTTGTTTTCTTTTATAGTTTATCTATACGTTATGAGCTATCCAGCATTTTCCATATTTATACTTGTATTTAAATGTTTTTTATAGGAGAACCCGTCCTTTATTAGTAGAGATCTCTATGTTAAACAAATTTTTAATCGTAAGTTAAAATCCTCTAATCTCTAGGATCTAGGAATCTTGTTATCAATTAAATTCGGAAGAATGGATGAGAATTTACCGCGCAATTGTAATTTAAGGCGAATGTCAACGAGATGTACAGTAGATATTCACCTTTTTCAACATTAACGTTCAGTAGAGAAGCAAAAAGTTGAATACGATTTAATCGACATAGTATTGAACGTTATGGCAAGTGGCCATTTCAGAATTAATGATTCCTCTGCATCCGGCCATATTTATAATAATATTTGTATTATAATCAGCAGAATATCTTGAATTTAGTGGCCGAAAATAATAAAAAAGAAAAAAGACAAAAAAAATGGAAAGGATATTCGTCGCTCAAATTGCATAAGAATTATATGTAATTTCATAAATTATTTCATAGAAAATGAATAGCAAGAAAAAGGCATTTCCTATTAAATCATGATGATCACTTTCTTGTCCTATAAAAACGTTTTATTTCGTTTCTACATGATACATTTTACCACGGTCCATTGAGTAATACCCGTCTAGTCGCTTCCTTGGAATCCACGACAAGTGGGGCACCGTTATTAAGCTTTAAATGGAATACAAATTTTTTACTTGTTCTTACAACATATTAAAAATGATATCTCAAAGGGAATTAAAGGAACATCAATTTGTATTACAAAATTGTGTGTCATTCTTTTGATTCGTTCGAAATTTGTGTCTTGTCGTCTTCTTTCGAGTTACCGCCTGTTTCATTATCATTGGCAACTTCATCATTATCCAACTCTTTAACGGTAGCACCCTTACGATTTTTTTGGAATTTATTTGTTTCTGAAAGAATAATTTTATATATTAACATCTGGAACGTAGCAATATACGTTTCATAAGCACATACCAAATTTCGAACAGTCAGCTCCTAATAGTCGTAGATAGTGAACTGCATCATGTACGGGAACATATGCTCTCAGGGACATTGTACCTCGCCATCCTACCAATTGCAACTTTAATCGATTTTCACTCTCCCCTTCTTCTTCTTCGTATACAAGTATACAACTTCCAATTGCTGGAATAACACATGCGTCACCTTATTTGTCAAATTTTGCACCTGTTCGTTTCAGCGACAAAATATTTTACCAAAATTTTTTAAACGTTCTTGGGTTTCTGATTTAAGCTTCACTATCTCTGGCGATGCTTGTGGATCGTTATTTTGTAACACCATTATCAGGTCGTCTTTAGATATTCTAACTTTCCTACCATCGCCAATATACCGAATGATACTTTGCAGCCCCTCCCATGCTAATCTATATGGACCTTCCGGATATTTTTTGTTGACAGAGCGTACAAATGTTTTTACTCCAGTATTTATCAATTTTATTTTATCTTCGTTAGATAACACAATGTTACGTATCTCAGGTGACGTATAATAAATGTTTTTCTTATTCCTGTTGAAGCATCGCACCAACAAACACCGAGGATCTAAACCATCTGATATGTCATAAAATTTTCTAAAAATGTTTAAATCAAATTAAAGATCCATTAAATGAACAGAAAGTTTAAAGATCAATTAAACGAACAAAAAAGAAACTTTCCACTTACTTAATAAATAACCACACATCTTCCTTATCATCTTTAAAGAAAACGAACGGATCTTCCCTATATCCTATTATTCTTCTGCGTTTTCTTCTAAATTCTCGTACTTTGTTGCGATCTTTTCCTTCTGTGTCTTTTGCCGCTTCTTCCTCCAAGCTTACTTCATTATTGCCTTCTCCACTGTTAGAACTTTGTGTAGTCTCGTTGTTTTTACCTGATTCACGTTCCCATGGCAAAGGTTTAACCTTCTCCAAAACAGCCACAAAGAAACCTCCTGTATCCTGATGATGTGGCAATATTCTCATACTGTGTTGTTGGAAAATCGCTATTATGTAGTCATTAAGTCAAGGCAATAATAATTTTAATTAAAAAATTACTCTTTATTTACCATCGTTCAAAATGAAACTTCGCAGCATCTTCTGGTTTTGGCGGGAACATTTTTGGACGAACTTGTGTTTGCCATTGTTCGGGCACATCTTCCCATGATTCGTAATATTGTAAATTTTTCGATGCTGGTAACCAATGTGACACACCTACAAAATATCTCGTTAAATGTCTGATGTAAAAGTGAAGTTGTACAATATAATATACAATATGCCACACCTGGATCACACACCAATCCAGGTACTAAATCCTTGCAATCAACTAACTGCACAGAATCTTGGGTTTCAAGAAGAAGCCTATGAAGTACAGCTTCATTTTCTATTGGATTTAATGAACAAGTAGAATATACCATTCTTCCTCCAACTGCTAATAACTCCAACCCCCTTCTTGCTATCCTATACTGAATTCTTCAAATCCATAGATATAAGTTATTTTTATTAACCAAATTATGCAAATTGATGTAAAGTAATATTTACCCATGGAGATTGTTACCATTTGCTGGACTCCACTTACACCAAATGTCAGGATTTTTTCTCATTGTACCATCACCACTACATGGTACATCAGCAAGTACTCTGTCAAATCTATAAACAGATATGTAGAAGTTATAAAAGAATATAGAAATATTTTGTTTATAGTATGTTTTACTAACTTCAATTCATCTTTTGTACCATCTGGCTTGGTAACAGTGAAATTAGGCAATACTGAGGCATCATGATTTGTAATTAATATAATTGGACTATTTAATCTTTTTGCTTGATGCACAAGCATGTAACACCGATTATTGTCCAGATCATTGGCTATTACAAAACCTTCTGTAAAAAATTAATAAATACCAATAAAATTTACATAACTTGTTTGTAAGTACTCAATGTTTTATTAGTACCAGGAAGTGTACTTCCTTCTTCAGCATGTAACATTTCTATGAGTTGAACTGTCTTTGAGCCCGGTGCTGCACACATGTCTAAAACCTATATAAAATAATTTTATTCATGTTCAAAGTTTAATTCACAGTAGTGCACTTAATGAGATCAATATACCTTGTGAGAAGGTTTTACATCTAACACTAAGGGTGGTACCATGCTAACCACCTCTTGCCTACTAATGTTTCCACTACCAGTTTCAACAATTAAAAAATTGTGTAATCTAAAATATGCTTCAGATCTTCTAATATCTTTCCTAGTTAATTGCAACTGCCAAGCTAATCCATCTGGGTAAAAAGGCAGACAGTGTAATATATCCTTTCCTTCTTCGCTAGTTTCAGAATTATCTTCCATATGTGCATTTAAAATCTCTTTGAAGAAATCTCCTTTAATTGTTTCAAGTAATTTTTTAGCTTCTACTTTTGACCCTGTAAGCCTAAAGGCTACAGGAAGATTCTTCTTCATAGTATTCATAAAAGAATCCCATTGCTCTTCGGGAACAATTTTCTGAGTTTTGTAATAATCTTCAAACTCCTTATTTTCTCTGATAATGTCTGCATAGTTATGATGTGGTGTGTTATCCCATTCATCTTTTTTCTGTGTAATTTATAAAAATTTTGTATACTGTTTATATTTAAACACTGATCATTCTCAAGGTATACATGATTCATAAAAATTTGTGTATAATATAAAGTAATAAACATAACCGCAAACCGCAACCGGCACCATTTTCTGTCAATGATTAAAATCGTACCTTCTGCTTTTCACGACGCTTTTCTGCAAAATTCTTTTTTGGCTTATTTTTTCGCCCCTTTCCCATTATTATGTGCAAAAGATAAGTGTAATACTAACAATCAATAAACACGTGCTCACTAAACAGCAACAAATGACGGCAAGACGACTTTTTGTGAAAGTATAGACAAACCTATACAAAACGGTTTTACCTTGACAAACTCCAGATGGCGCACTCCGTGTTTCACAAACAGATTTCGAATAAGTCAAGTAATGCACATTTATGTAATAAATGTTTATTAAAACAATTATACAGATTATATTTTATGAATTAACAAATGTTGCTTGATGCGTTATTAACAATAACACTTTTGACTCAAAACTTCCAATCATTTCGTAAAGTAATAGGCGAATTTACTTATATACAAAATTACCGCTTATGACGATTACATTAAAGAACAAGTCCTTTATACGAAAGACCGTCAGCTTCTGGAGATTCCATTCTGTTTCTCAAATGTTCTAGTGTGTTACCTAAATGTTTTTGAATTTGCTCCGTTTCTTCGCTAACTTCTAAATTAGGAAGTTCTTCCTTAATTTTTGCAATTACTTGATTTAAAATGACAACAGTGACCTAAAAACAATTATTATTAATATACATTAACAGAACCTTATAAAAATATAAGTAATTCTTACCGCTGTATTGCCTTTCTCGTAAAAATAAATATAATGATTTAACAGTTCAACATAAAGTTGCACTTGAACAGAAGTATCCATGCATTGGCTTGCTATTCTAATACCTTTTTTCAAACAGTCTAATACTTTATTCCCATCTTGCATCTGAAGTAATTGCATAATTTAATTATATTTGTATTCATTATTGTATAATAGTATTTACATATTATATAATAAAAATGAATAATTACCTCTTTTCCTCCGGTCGCTAAAGATTTTCCAGACCAGAATATATGGGAACAGGTAGCAACACCTCTACATTGATCTGGTTTTCTTAATAACTTACTAGCATATAAAGCACACTGGTTGCGAACTGGTTCCGCATTTTCTTCACTAAAGCAACTCATTTGTTCGAATGTAGCAATAATTAATGTAATAGCTGCTAGTTGAGCCTTAGAATCACTTATTTCATCTTCATATATTGAAAATGCTTGACTCATAAATTCATAAGCAACCACTTCAAAATTATCGAAACGAATTTCTCCTATCGCTATAGCACCCTGAAGAAATAGCCTTAATGGCAATTCAGCCAATTCAGCTTTCATTAAAGCTGTAATAGTTGCATGACAAAATTGAAAGATTTTCTGACATTTTTTCTGCCACATTTCATCCTATACAAAAAGAATAATTAGGTCAACTTTTAAGAAATATAATGATCAGTTAATAATGTACTAACTTGATCTTTTAATTCCTTATATGTAAAAGCTAGCTGATAAGTCTGAAAGACAATTGGTGGTAAAGTATATTTTATTCTCTTATTCCCACCAGCACTAAAATGTTTTCTAGCAGCACTCAATATCATGTATTGTTGATCAGCTGTCTCAGATTTAAAATGATGTATCAGTCTACCAAGAAGACCTTGTTCTTCTGCAAAATCTTCAGGATCTTCTTCTATATTGGGTTGATCTAGCTGATCTTGCACCAAAGGAGACACCATAGAAAGAACTGAATCTACTTGTTCTTGAGTTGGTATCAGAGTTTCATTTTCTAAAACGTTTGTTATTATATAAATAGCCAACAATTTCCTGCCTTCATAATCAAAATAATCTAATAATGGTGCAAAATTCTCAAGCTTCAAAACGGTTAATATATTTTTGTAGTTATCTATTGGAATTTTCATCAGCCGTACTAATTCTCTCGATACAGCACTATTATACTCAAGCCTGAAAATTTATCAAATTTATCATATACTTATTTAAGTACAAATTTAATTATATTACATTATACATACTTTTCCACACTCTGTTTTTGGAATATTTGAACAGTTGTTAATAAAACTTTGTCCACATAGTTCACTCTATCAGGATAACATTTATGTGCCAAGTTAATCAGAGCTACTTGAAGGGAAACAATATCTTCTGGAGGCATATCTTGTCTAGTCTGAAAATAAACATCAATTTCAATACTTGGAAAATATTTAAGAGATTAGTAACAATTATACAGAATATACTCAGACTTAAACTAGACAAGTAAGGATAATTTGTATTCTGATAAACAGTAATCACAAGTATAATCATGTTGGTGTAGTACCTGATCATCATAGAAATTGTAAATTAAATTGAATTAATAATGTAAATCTTTATTTTTATAATGTACCAACCTGTATAATAATAGCTATTTGGTCACTAAAAACATCAAAAAGTTTTACATCCTGTGGAATTCCTGGTACTTCATTAGGGCTTCCTGGTCCTCCAACACCATCTGATCTTTGACTAAATGCTGCAAGACGGTCTATTAATGAAATAATTATGTTTTTTACATTCACACCATTTTGCAGCTCAGCACAAGACTTTAAAAAAGCATTTAATGTTTGTAGATGAAACTCATCAGGAAAAACCTAAATAGAAATATGAGTAACTCATTGATAGTAAATTACTATATGTAAACTCTGCTGAATTATTGTATTTACTTGAATTATACACTCCATGAGATACTCCTGAGCAATTGCATCTCTGCAACTGACTACTTGTTCTAAAATTCCAGGTAAGACAAGCTAAAAACCATTGTGTTATTAGCCAGTAATTTTACAAAATCTTAAAAGGCAATATATTTATGCTCCACCTTTTTATATTTCTCTAAAGTAACTGATTCCAACTGGCTAAGTCGTACAAGATTAGTTCCCACTAAAATTCTAAGTTCTTCTCTTTCTCTTTCTCTCCTTTCCCTGTCTCTAGTATGACCTTGATGTTGCATGCGTACCCATAACTTATTCATTTCTGCGAAATTCATCAAGACAAAGTCTATACTGTCGCGGACCTAAGGAAGAATATAAAATATAAACTTGTCTGCCTAATATTTCTTCTCTCTTCTATACATACACTTCCATCTTTATCAACTTCTTCAGCAACATCTGGTAAAATATTACGGGTACATTGTAACAAGTAGTTCCTTAAGAAAAGGCCTCTTAAAGGATGTTGAACACCTCTACACATTTCTACTAAATCTCTCAATAGATCCTTTTTCAAGCCACCAGTTGTTTTAATATATACTAATCCAACTGTGATCAGCAGATACCTACAAAATTATATATATTATCAGAATTATCATATAACATGGATATTGTTATCATAATCATGCTTCAAACTTACAGTCTAGGCACAATATTACCAACATATTGTACTAATTCATATAAGTCTGCCACTTTTCTTTCCTTTCGAAATTCATCTAATAAATAAAGCTCTAAATGTCTCAGTTCATCAGTAATAGCCATGTCTAAGATTAAATGTAAGGAAAAATACAAATTATTTGAAATATTTTACCGTGGAAACATATCAGCTCCTTAAAATTAAGAAGGATACATAATTCATAATAACTTTTCGGACTTAAAAGAGAAGTCCTAAGTTCTCCCAACATTGTAGAAGCATGTTTTAATGCATCCATTAATTTAGATTTATCTAAACAGTGTTTCATTTGAAAAGCCTGGACTTTAACCACACCAATTGCATCTTCAAGTAGTTTCTCTTGCTCTTCTACTCCGGTTATAACAGGTGTCATTGGCTGTGAGAAAAATAAAGATACCTACCAGGAGCACCAGGTAGTACCATGCTAGGTAAGCCATTCAATGCAAGCATGCACTATTTACACTTCTATGATAAAAAAAAAGCAAGGGGAAATAATTGTATTATAGTCTAACTATAAATCTATACCATTAATGATTATTAAGAAAAAAGGAACTCCATAAACTATGCAAAAAGCAAATAATCAACTATTGTTACACTGCATTTATAATAAATGCATGCTGAAAAGAAAATACGCTTAGTATTATGGTATGAAATTTCTGTTACTTCTGACAGAATCTTCTATCAAAGTTAGAGGTTATAATTTAAAAAAAAAGTCACTGAACAAAAGAAACGCATTATTAAAACATCTTTCTTATTGTATTGGATAAACAATAAAAATAACGGCATTCGGACTTTATACATTTGCTATATTGTTAAACATAAATCTCAAAATTTTTACAACAGTTAACCTTACGACATAAGATAACCTTGTCGAAAACAGATACTTATATTTTTGTTCAAATTCGATTGGCATATAATCAACTGCTTCCACAAGCAAAGATTTTACATGCTTTTTTAAAACAAATCCACGCTTACCATTTTCTTTTCTTTTGGAAAACTAAACACTTGTTTTCCACACTCAAAAGGCCTTACTGATGAAAGTGACACGTTCGGCGCAACTGTAGATATATTATGTATACACAAGGAGAATAATCTTACTGTCAAACCAGATCAAATTATTTGTATCTATATTAAAGTGTAAATTATTAGATTAGTCAGGAATTGTTAATAACTTTTATTAAAAATTAGAAAAATTAATGTTCTTTTCGTATGAATTACAGATAGACCTTCCAGGGCAGCACAGAAATCAAGGGAAGGACTTGAACATCAGGAAAAATGAAGAAATGCAATTATTTATTAAAAAATCAATTATTTATTATAAGATAACTGTACAAAATGTATTTTACAAAGGGCTACAATATACAAGTATTATTTTACAGCAATTTACAGTGTTTTCATTTAGTCAACTAACGTTGGAAATGATACGAAAATGATAAGGACACTTTCAGCCCTCTTGACGTGGACAAAAAATACATTAGATATTAAGTATATACCTTGTCTGTGATTCTAAATTACTGAAACATCATAATTTTTATTATTTTTTTAATATTTTTCTTATTTCAATGTGTAGTAGGAAATTTCAATAATTAATGTAGAAGTTTTTGGTCATTTTGTGTGATTAATTCATGTGCAATACTTATTGGTAAGATAATTCGCCGCGTACATATTTATTTAACAATACAGAAATGAGTAAGACAAGGAAAGGAATAGGTGTAGACAAGGATAGCACCCGTGCCACGTGATAGACAAGGAAAGGAATAGCGGTATACAAGGATAGCACCAGTGACATGTGTTAGACAAGGAAAGGAATAGCGGTAGACAAGGATAGCAACAGTGTCATGTGTTAGACAAGGAAAGGAATAGGGATAGACAAGGACAGAAAAAAGAGTCGGGCGAGACTAACGAAAACATTCAAAAATTTATTATAAGTATCAATTAAATATAATAAGGATGACGAGGATGCAAGGAAACGAACAGCGGTAGACAAGGATAGCACTAGTATAACGAGCTAAACCAGGGAAAAAATAAGGATAGCACTAGAGAAACGCATTAGACAAGGAAAGGAATAGGGGTAGACAAGGATAGTACTAGAGAAAGGAGATAAACAAGGAAAGGAATGGGTGTAGACAAGGATAGCACCTGTGCCACGTGTTAGACAAGGAAAGGAATAGGGATAGACAAGGACAGAAAAAAGAGTCGGGCGAGACTAACGCCATCTAACATTTAGGGATCTGAGCTACCATTTCTTAATAGGAAAACATGATATAAACAGAGGTAATAGACAAGGAAAGCACTAGTGTGCGAGAAGGACAGAGAGAAAACGCTTTCTATTGGCTGACGAGCCGCTACGCCCCGCCTCCCAGAGCTTCAGCCACGTGGCCCGGTGAAAAATCATTAATAACTCATTAATTAGGATGATTCTGTGAACTTTTAGGATTGAAGAATGTAGCGTGGACCTTTAGCTACATTCACAGATAGTTTTTAGTGCTATAAACCCTTTCAATAATTAGTTATTAACAATTTTATTACGTGATGTCTGTAACGATACCGTTTTCGTTTATATACGTTTACGGTTTTTCATTAATAACTCAGTAATTACGATGATTTCGTGAATTTT